GGTAATTATACTTGCACTGCAGTGTCTGAGCTGTCTTGCCTGAGGGTATTATGTTAAAATTCTGTTTCTAGAAATCATAGCTGGACCTCCAGGATACTTTTTTCTCCCCTGAATTGAAAATTTATCTAAGATGTCACCAATTTTTAATTTATGAATTTTCAAAACATAAAAAGGTCTTAAAAGACATAGTCTTTTGTCTAGATTGTAATTTCTAGTTTTATGTGGATCCAATAATTTATTTTTGGAACTTCCAACAATTAGATGAAGCTGGGATAAGAACAGGCATCTCTCCCCAACCTCTGCCTATTGCTGTTCTCACCATACATGGGAAAGGAGGCCAGACTCATGGACAGGGGAAGACAATAAGCTTACCATGTCCAACCAGGACTCTCCCTGCTGACGAGTCTGTTCTTTCACATTCCCACCCATGGCCAGTCAGCACCAATACTACCCAGCTTCTGTTCTGCATATACAAGTGTGTCATCTTCTCCCCAGCCCCCTCCTCATTGCAGAGTGCCACCCTCCACTATCCCTAGTGCTCACATCCTCCTATGGCACTCTTAACAGATCTAGTAAATGAGACCTATTCTTAGACTTTTCTTTGGAGAGCATAAAGAACATCCAAACAAATATTACCTTTTTTTCAGATGCAGGAACTGTGCTAATGTTGCTATTTTATATAGATATTATACTATTTTAAATGTTTTCAGATATATACCTTTTCCAAACCAGGAAAGAAAAACTGAGTGTGATTCTCCAAAACCACAAAATTAGCAACTTACTAATACTATATCCCCATGATGATATCTGATAATGCTTCACAAAATGCAGGTTCCATGGTCTCATCACCCTGCCCACTGTAGGATGTGTTATGAGGCCCACTCTGAATCTTGAATTAGCAGCTGCTTGTCCATGCCACTCTGCGGCCACAAAGGGAGAGGGCCAGGGCCAGAATGCTGCATGGCTCACAGCCCCAAGCAATCTGCCATGATGTTTCTGCTGAAGAGATGACTTTCCCTAGACTTCCCCTGAAAGTCTACTCTTCAAGCAAGCTGGCTCTTCAGGATTTATCTTCCTGAGAGATCCACCCACTGGAAAAGATGCCATTAAGGAAACCTACCTCAAAGACTACCCCTCAGAATGAGGATAGATAATCTTCCTGGAATGGCAGTGATATCCAGTTACTCAAAGAGTGACTAATAAAGCTCCACTAACCCTAACCAAAGGCACATTTGGTAAGCAATAAAAAAATGGCTTCACCTAAAATGAAGATTTTCTTTCAAAATAAACCTTATAACATCCCCTGGCTCCTACCAAAGATAAAATCAGAAAAACCTAACCAAGCAGAACTTCCCTTTTAAAGCAATGGTTTCCAACTTGCTTTTCAACTTGGTCACCATCAGACAGGGATGGAAGGCAAGGCAAATCAAATTTTGCAAGTTCTAAGTCTTAAAGATAGCACTTAAGAGTGGCAAAGCTTGTGATAAGCTGGGAATAGCCAGGGTAGGATGTAGAGACAGCCAGGACAGATAGAAAAACCCTTTGGTGATGCAACTCAAGGGCAGTAAACTCCACCAAGACATATAACCTATCTGGAATGACTGGGAAGCGATGGGCTGCTGCAAACTAGCACCTGGGAAGGGATAGTTGTCCTAAATAAGAGATCAAGGCTAAGCCCAAAATAAATCCTACAGGAAGAAGAAAAAGGAAACAACTCTTGGTTATTTGATTATGTCTGAAAAGGAAAACAATGAGCCATCCTTTCTAGCAGGGGAAATAAACCTAATTACTTCTAAACCACATCATGAAACAAGACAATAAATCAATAGCTTCGTTTTGGAGCTTATTAGAGTCTTAGAATTTCTGGCCAAGGTAGACTGTGAAAGGCAGGCTCTTCTTAAACACGGTTATGGTTCAGCAGTTATCTGCAGGTCCTTGGGAAGGCACTGTGCTGGCGGAGAGAGCAGAGAGCGAAGAGCTTTCTTTTTGTGCTTTTTGTTCTGTGTTTTTTTTTTGGAGATGGAAATACTTCTTGTGACAGTCAAGGCTCTTTACTGATTTTCTGCTGCTCATACAAGCAGTCCCATACGAGTAACTTTGGCTGACAAGAACGTGTGCAACACAAATACAATCGGCTTCGGACAAGAGTGCAGGTCCATGGTCTATGGAGAAAGGACACAGACAATTCAGTAAACAAAGATGCAAAATAAACAAGCTTATTTTTGTTTTTTAAGACAGAGCTGCCCCAGGCTAGAGTGCAGTGTCATTGCCTAGCTCACAGCAAATTCAAACTCCTGTATTCAAGTGAGCCTCCTCCTTCAGCCTCATTAATAGCTGGGACAACTGGTGCCTGCCACACTACCTGGCTGATTTTTTACAGTTTTAGTAAAATTGAGGTCTCACTTTTGCTCAAGCTGGTCTCAAACTCCTAAGCTCAAGCAATCCACCTGCCTTGGCCTCCCAGAGTGCTAGGATTACAGGTGTGAGCCACTGCACCTGGCCAAAATAAGCAAATTTAAATATGATGTTCTACTTTTTACAAAGAACTTGGATAAAGAACTTGTGCTAGAGCTATAGAAACTCTTAGGAAGTTAAAGCCATAAACAAATGTAAACTAAGAAGTAAGGTTAACTGGCTCGGCACCGGTAGCTCAGTGAGTAGGCTGCCAGCCACGTATACCAAAGCTGAAGGGTTTGAGCCCAGCCCAGGTCTGCTAAACAACAAGATAACTGCAACCAAAAAATAGGTAGGCGTTGTGTAGGGCGCCTGTAGTCCTAGCTACTCAGGAGGCTGAGGCAAGAGAATTGCTTAAGCCCAAGAGTTTGAGGTTGCTGTGAGCTGTGATACCACAGCATTTTACTGAGGGCAACGTAATAAGATACTGTCTCAACAACAACAACAAAAAAAGATTTCCAGAACTGGGTGTGGTAGCACATATCAATAATCCTGGCTACGTGGAAAGCTGAAGTGAGAAGACTGTTTAAGCCTAAGAGTTCAATGCCAGCCTGGGCACATAGTGAGATTCCCATCTCTAAAAAAAAGAAAAAAAAAAAAAAAGAAAAAAAAGAATCGAACAAAATAAATTTTTTTTAGCCACAGTTTTCTCATTTGTAGATTGAATGGCAATATCTCTATAATCTCTTTCAGTTCTAAAATTTCCAAGGGCTGTGCTTGGTGGCTCATGCCTGTATTCCTAGCACTCTAGGAGGCTGAGGCAGGTGGATTGGCTGAGCTCAGGAGTTTAAGATCAGCCTGAGCAAGAGCAAGACCCCATCTCTAAAAATAGCCAGGCAGACTGGTGGCCACCTATAGTCCCAGCTACTCAGGAGGCTGAGGCAAGAGGATTGCTTGAGCCCAAGAGTTTGAGGATGCTATGAGCTATGACACCATGGCACTCTACTGAGTGACAAAGTGAGACTGTCTCAGAAAAATAAAATAAAATAAAATTTCCAAGGTTGAATATTCCCAAATTTATATCTACCATGATTGTGTCAGTAGACACAGTAGACACGGTTTTGTTTTTTTTTGGAGACAGAGTCTCAAGCTGTCGCCATGGGTTGAGTGCTATGGTGTCACAGGTCACAGCAACCTCAAACTCTTGGGCTTAAGTGATTCTCTTGCCTCAGCCTCCCAAGTAGCTGGGACTACAGGCACCCACCACAATGCCTGGTTATTGGTTGTTGTTGTTGTAGTTGTCATTGTTGTTTTAGCTGGCCCAGGCCAGGTTCAAACCTGCCAGCCTCTGTACATGTGGTCTGTGCCCTACCCACTGAGCAAAGGGGCCGCCCTAGACACAAGATTTTATGTATAAGACTTAAACTACTATGAAACTAATTTATAGCTTTCATATGAAAGCTATAACCCAATTACAGCCCAAGAATATGGGGAAAGGGGAGAGGGAGGGGAGGGGAGGGAGGAGGATGAGTGGAGGGAGGGTAATTGGTGGGACCACAACTATGGTGCATCTTACAAGAGTACATATGAAACTTACTAAATGTAGAATATAAATGTCTTAACACAATAACTAAGAAAATGCCATGAAGGCTATGTTAAACAGTTTGATGAAAACATTTCAAGTTGTATATAAAATCAGCACATTGTACCTCATGACTACATTAATGTACACAGCTATGATTTAATAAAAAAAAATGTCTTTTTTTTTTTTTT